TGAAAATGTGGAATACCCAACTTTTACAACAAAGTAATTGACATCTTTGTCCAGAGGGATAGACGCATGGACTTCGTCTACAAATTAAAGTAAGCACCCCCTTTAAAACATAAATTATTAATTTATTTAATATTTTTAAACTGTTATATTGGCTTGTATGTGTTGTATGATAGTGTGCTATATTATAAGCCTGCTGTGCGCAGACACCAAAATGCTCTCTCTTCCATACCCTGGTGCGCCATCACCTCTGCCACATTTGTACGTCTATGTCTGTGCGATAGTGCATTTTGTAAGGGTTAAAATGCTGTTTTGTAGTTGTCTTTTTTTAATCCTAGTGCGCCGTTGCTAGACGCTCACTGCGCGTCGGTCTGTGCAAGCGCAGTTTGTAGGAGCGAATAAGCTGTTTTGTACTTTAAAGCTGTACTGCTAACACAATGTTTTCTGACTGTAGCCTATTCAAATCCTGGTGCGCAGTCACTGGACCCTTAGTGTGTGTGTGTGTGTGTGTGTGTGTGGCTGGCTGCGCGTGTTTGCACAGTTTGTGGTGAATAGACTGCGTGTCGGTTCGCTGACACCGCGCCCCTCTCTCTCTTACTGTGTCCCGCACAGAAACATTTGTTTGTTGTGTAAGTCATAAGATAGATGTGTACATTAATTTGATCGTTACATTTTATTGTGCATTGACTTCGCTGTATGCCCTAGGCAGTGACAGACAGTGATGATGAAAATAGGCTGCTGCATTTAGTGAATATAGGCATATAGGTCACAGCCTACCCATGAAAAAATTTCACCGCACGTTACTGGACAGTTAATAGTGTTGTTCTGAGTTTTGTTGTGCCATATAAGTAGAGGATGTTTACTGTTGCTTTACAGACTTAACTTTGGGGTGGGGGGGTCAATTATTATGTGAAGATATGAAGTTTTATGGGCTGGGCTAAGCCCCCATTGTTTCAAGGTCCTAAAAACGCCCCTGCTGGGTACTATCACTCACGTGCACTGCAGCAGGATAGGACTCACGTGAGGCAGTTTTGAATGTACGCAGGGCATGGAGGGTAGCAGTGGGACTAACCCCTAAAATTCACTGACTGTCTACGGCACGTTATGGCTGCGCAACGGTTTTGATGCATCCATAGCCCTGCCTTGTGTCAAAGTCCACTGGAAGCCTTTCAGACGCGTTTCAGCAGCCGAGTGTGAAGCTTGCCCCGCGTTATTGACTTGTTATTAATTTGTCATTTTCGTGCTTCTACTACTTTCTCCACAGCTCTATGTGACCCCGTTTCGTTCCGTTAACTTCAGGCTGCATTTCCCACAGGGATCATTTCAGAATCAGAGCGTTTTGCCTGCCTGACTTTGCTGACATGTTTAGATTTTGTTGATTTGGTAATCAGTGTTTGCATTTTGTGCTTCTATTATGATTAAGTAGGCTACATAGTTAAATCATTTCGTTTTGTGTCCGTTTTAACCGTGTTTATTGTTGTTTTATGACCGGGAGTCTCCATTTTATTTTGAAAATTGACCGGATTCTCTCTGCCATTCTGTGCCTGACTTCCAGCACAAAAAGGACAAATTAATAAGAAGTAAATAACGTGGGGCAGGCTGCACGCTCCGCTGCTGAGACGCTTCTGACGCTTCCAGTGGCCAGTGGTGTTATGCCGAGTTTTGCCTGCCTGCGAGAATTGCATGCACCTCCAAATACTGCGTTTAAACGCTATACTGTTCTCCGTGGGGTTCATCAATGGTGATAAATGATTCGAAGTATATATTTTATGAAAATCTTTAATATTTTAATAAACTTAGTAGAAGTACCATTCCTTGAGATTCAGTAAATATGTGGTGATAACCGCGTTTGATCAATGAGCACAGCAAAGTGTCTGAAAAGGACCTAAAAAGGTGGATGCATAATCCGGCAGAACAGATTTTGTAGGCTACCTGCCGGATTTGCATTCACTTCTTTTCTCAGCATAAATGACCGTAATCACTCGCGACGTGCATGCAATTCTCGGCAGGCAGGCAGAATTGGGCACAACACCTTGGGCTATGGACGTATTAAAACCGTGGCACAGCCGTAACGTGCCGTAGCCGGATTCCCGGCGTAAGGGTGATGTTAGTACTCACTTCCTCGGGTTTTCCCAGAGCAGCGGCGGCGCTGGAGCACAGCTTCTTCAGAAAGTCCTCAGAGAAGGAGCTGATAGGTAAATTACTCTGTAAGTCGATGAAAGGCATCTTAAGGACTACTGGAATCTAGTGTGCCGACAGCTCTGTGTGGAGACTAGGACGAAAGGCCACTGACGGCAAACGTATCCTAATAATTCTACTTCTTCTTTTCGTTTTATGGCAGATTGCAACCATGACTTTTAAAGGAGCATACCGCCACCTACTGTATCGGAGTATGTAACATGAACTATGTTCGTTGGGACTACTTTATATCATAAAAAAAGATAATAATATTAAAAATATAATTATAAAAATCAACAAATCAAAACAAACAAAAAACCTATATTTTTCAGATATTGTACTACTGATTTCTGTGTATCCTTTACACTATCTCCTGTTGTGCCTACTAAACCTTCAAGGTTCCACTTCCTTCCTGCCTGACTTATCTTTTGATTTAGCCTCATCCTCTCATCCCTGTATTTCCTACAACGTAATAGTACATGTTCTACATCAAACCTAGATCAAACCTTAGCCTGGTTAAAACGCTCTCCTCTCTTCTGTTACTTCTATTCACACCATGAGCATTAATAGATTTTTGTAAGCTGTACTATTTCCTTCCACTTTTATCCACATCCCACCTGTCCTGCCATTTCTTCATCATTTCGTTTTAGATTATCGCCTTAGCTTCTCTATTTCCAAGGGGTATATTTATGGCATTGTTCATCCGTGTTGATTTTTTAGCTATTTTGTTAGCTATTTTGTCTGCTCTCTCATTCCCTTTTATACCTACGTGGGCAGGTACCCAGCATCTTTCTATAGTGTCTGTAGTCTAAATAAACTTTGTTGGATTTCTAGCATTAGATCTTCTCTATTAGATTTCATATTTTGAATACTATAAAGGGCTGCTACAGAATCAACACAACACACCACTCTGTCTGGTTTTACTTCCTCAACCCACTGCAGTCCTATAATAATCGGCATCATCTCTGCCGTGTACTTTGAAGCCTGATCAGTTAATCATAATACATTCATTGTTGGTATATATATTCCTACCTTGTCCTCTTCATCTTTAGATCCATCTGTATATATATCTAAGTAAGTGTAATATTTGCTCCTTATGTACTGACTTGCCAAACTCAACCTGGATTGCTTTAATTGTTGTTAATCTCATTACACCAGCACAAATCCTCAGTGCTTTGTTAGTAACTCTATCCAACTTCAATAAATGTTCTGTGTTTTAGCTGTTGCTCCATATGTATAGCATCCATAATCTATTGTTGACCTCATTAGAGCCCTGTAAATATACATTGCTGATTGTTTATTTGCTCCCCAGTCTTTCAGGCGGTAGAGCGGGTTGCCTGTTAATCGGAAAGTCAGCGGTTCAATCCCCGGCTCCTCCAGGCTGCATATCGAAGTGTCCTTGGGCAAGACACTTTGCCTCTGGTGGCTGTTCCACCAGTGTATGAATGAATGTTAGTTTCTGGTGAGGCTCAGTGAATGAATGGTGAATGCAGATGTAGTGTAAAAGTGCTTTGAGTGGTTGAAAAGGCTATACAAGTACGGAGTTTTCAATGTTTATTGTCCCATGAAACAGGAAGTTGTTGTAACTTCAGTCTACATGCTCACATCTACACCAAACTTTGCATGTTTGATAACACATCTAAAAGCCAAAATTCACCTATAGTCACAGCGCCACCTGGCAACAGGAAGTGACTACATTTATGCTGTGATGAACCACTTCTTGCACGTTGGCTATATGTACATCAAAACTATCTCAGAAAACTCTTAACACATTGATGTTGTTATGTTGTAAAGCCTGTAAGTTTTCTTTCAATGACGTGTCCTTGGTAGGATGGCGAATTTCCATGCTTCACCGTGAAACAGGAAGCCAGTGCTTCTCTTGATGTGTCGGGGAGTGAAGTTCACTCACTGCACAGCCTCTCTGGCTTCTGTCACACAGGTTTATACAATATAAGACCAAAGCAGGGCAAGTCTGAAATTTGGAGAACTTCTCAGTTGTTACTGACAAAAATAAATGCAATGGTCTGTCGATTATTCTGAACGTTTAGCATAGCCCAAACATTTGTGTCCTTTTTTTACTCTGCAAGTCACAATGTTTGCGGGTGCGGGCGGGAGTGGACACATGTTCTGGTAGCGGGCAGTAATGGTCGCAAAATTAGCGGAAGCAGGATTAAGAAAACAGTCGTGCAGGTCTCTAACGATTCTTAGATTATATTGTTGTAGCCACTTCTTTATTTTATTATTTTTACTTTTTGTTTTGTTTTTGGCTGTTTACGGCTGGGTCCCATCTTTATTCTCCACATCAAATAAATATATAATTGCACATAACTGCCACTCTCTAATAAACCGGCCCACTCCTCACGTTCTGGGAGCGGTTTAGAAAACGAACATGGCCACTTTGGGCTGGCTCCCTTCTAAGGGGTCTAAGAGCAACCCAAAATAGGACCAACATCGGACAAAATAAAACAAAACAAAAAACATACAAACCTTTAAAAGATAAAAGGAGTAAAAAAGTATTTTTTGTATTATTAATAATAAAAATTGTATATCTCTCTCTCTCAAGATCAAGTAATTTTTTTGACTACTGTTGTTATTGATGTCATTTACTTTATTTTTTCCCCCCTTTCTCATGTCTTGTTCCCAGTCTATCGTCCTGTCAATGTTGTGTATTTTGTCTCGCAATAATAAAAATAAAATAAATATAAAACATGAATAAAAAGACAGCACATGCTGACAGAATGTGTAAGTAGATAGCAGCTATTTATTAACGGTTTATCACTGTACATTACCATTGTCATCAACCAACAAATGCTTACTGCCGGAAGTTATGTGTTGTCTACAGTGTGTTTAATTACTGAAATGTCTGTCATGACAGGCAACACTTATCCTTCACACCAGTGAGGTCACACCTACAGAAAAACAGAAGGAAGACATCAACATTATAACTACTAAAATAATTTCATGTTTTCAATACAAGCAAGCAGTTGCTGTAGCTCCTTATGAAAAGTTTCCAAATCAAAAGTCATAAAACTGTAAAAAGTTCAAAGTGTGGTATACCAGGATAGCAACAATGTAGTTAGAGAGTGTTACAAGAAGCGTACATGAAGAAGATTATAGAAATCTTGTTGTTAGGCACTTGCGGCTTACTTTGAGCTGCGATCTAACCAGCATTCACCAGACTCACCGTGGGAGTACTTGCACTGTTTGAGGGCCTCGTTGAAGCCCTCACATAAACTCAGGTCAGTCTGGTTGGTGGCACAGTCCAGGAACTGCTTGACCTCAAAGTGACAGGGGCCTGGCTGGGCTGGAGCAGGCCGGGGGGGCTCCTGGAATGATTCCAGCAAGGAAAGAAACACATTGAGTTCAAATATCATATTTAACAAGCTGCTAGAAAGTTTTTATATGGCATTGGTGATTGAGGTCAGTCTTGACAGGCAGGTTTTGATTTAAAGCAACAGTCTGGGTGTTATTTTGAATCAACAAGCATATTCAAAATGTCTTCCAGGGCTCGACAATAACTCACTGGCTCGATCGGGCCATTGAAAAACAATAGTACTTAAAAAAATGAAAACAAACAAAAAAAAAAATCGCATTAGAAACTCAACATCCTGCAGTTGCTTTGCAGCTCTTGGCCCACACCATTGGCCAATCAAGAGTTGTATAGACGTGACGAGTGGTCAAATGTAATTTCTCTAATCTCAATCAAGCGGCGACCTCTGGGTCTGAAAAGTGAAACCATGCAGATGGAACTTAAACCTGCATTCTCTATAACAGCCAGCAGGGGGCGAGTCCGCTGGTTGCAAAAAGAAGTCCAGTTCCATTAGAAATAATGGCAAAATGACCCTACTTCTCAGCTGATTTATTCCCTCAGTAAACACTTTCCTGATGTGTTATGGTCTCAGTCGCTAGTTTCAAGTCTTCTTCAACACAGCACGATGTTCATTTAGTAAATTATGGTCCCATTTAGGGGGAAATGGACCAGAAAGCAGCATTTAGGCCGAGACTACCTTGTAATTGATATGTGGCTACCATGGCGACCTGTAAATCAGGATAGAGGTGACTTGTATCTGCTGCCCGGTGTACATTTTTTTTAAATGGCTGTCAGCAGGAGAGAGAGCATGTCATGTTTGAGTCTGTTAGTATGTTTTGTAACCTTTTTATTTTTTTTATAATTTTAACTGTGATTTCATTTGTTGAGTTTTATTTTCAGGATGTATTTAATAAATGATTAAACATGTTAACAGTATAACAAAGTCTTTGGTTTGGTTGTAACACTGATATATAGCTGGTGAATCACTCGTTTGTCCCAAGTACCTGTACATCCTGTATATACATAAAGCAAAAAGAAACGTTTCAGGATTTAGGGTACAAATCATGAACTATCCGATAACTACTGATAGTTTTGAGGTTTTGAAGAAATCAAAATGATGAATGTGACGAGACACTCAATGCCAGCTTTGATACTGTCATACAATGTAATATTCTGTCAACCATGCCAATGTTTGCCACTCAGAATTAGATTTTTGTTTTCCTAATAAGATGTTATTTTTATTAAATAGCACACGACTATAGGGCTAGAAGCAGCAACACGTCTCATGACTTTGACTTTAAGAGATGAATCTTTCCTCACTCTTCACAGTATGTCAGTGAATCTCTATTTGGCCTTGGGCCGGATAGTTGAGGGTGAAAAACACCAAGAAACGTCAGACTCAAACACACCCAGACACAACTGCACACCCAGTTAGGTTCAGTATTCCCCACCACCTCTTACCTGATATGTAGGCTTGGCTGGCTCTGAACTACCGCTGCCCCCACTAAACGCTCCAGTAAGGGCACTGCCAACGACGTGGCCCACAGCCGAGCCTACTGCCACCCCAGCAGCTGTGGTAGCCATCTGGGCCATGAGGCCCTGCCCCTGGGACTGAGCTGGAGCTGCGGCCAGGGCAGCAGGAGGTGGATGAGCAGGGGCTGGAGCATGTGATGAAGCTGGGCTACAAAGAGAAAAGTACATTTCTTGTGTATTAAGAGAGGCCTTAAAGCGACATTACATCATCTACTGTATTAGTGACAACTGTGAAAGCCCTTGTGTCCCACTGTGGCACACCACCACACTATGAAATAAGAGTAGAAATTATACCATACCATAAAACCCTAAGGGACCTTTTTATAAATCAAAAGTAAAAAAATTAAAAAGTAGGAACTAAAGATGTACTGATCTGGGAGTGGCGTTAACAGTCAATTGTATATATAGCAGGATAGTTTTGGTCAAGTATCTGACAGAGAGCGGGGAACTGATAACAAAGATTTTTAAGTGAATCTGGACGCATCGGACAGAGCTAGTTTCCTTGCAGAGCAACATCGTCACCTTTGCAGCGATCCTGTCATAGTCATGGACATCACAGGTAATCAAACAGGAGTAACGACTCCAAAAAGGCTTGGGCTCCTCAATTTGAATTTTCACAGTGTAGTTACCATACAGTTCGGCATTGGTTTGGTGTCCTCTGATCACATGACATGGAAGCTATTGAAATAAATGATGATTTTTCTCGTAACACCGATTTAACAGTTGTAATTTATTGATGGTCCCCAAGCTGACCTCCGGTGGTTAAAAGCGAGCCATCGGAGGTGAGCTAAATGCACCTATACTGCCAACACTGCGTGAACTGAGTAAGAAGCCGTCACCGGATCCTGGGTGAATGTCTGTCGAATGTCCAACTTAAAACTGACTTCACCGCGGTGCGTTTTCCACAGTACCAGTACAGAGACTGAGCCCGCTGTGAAACGTTAACTTACTGCAAACGGCTTTACCTGGCTGGAGCTGAGGGACGGCTCCGGCTTCCTCTGGCCATCTCTGAGACGACAACAGCTGTCTTGCTGAACCGGACTAATGAACGGAACGGGAGAACATTGCTTTCCCAACAGACCTCCCTGCTTGGGTCACCCGCGTACCACTGACCTTGTGAGGTACAACTGCTACTTACGCAAATGTCTTCTACTTCTTCTTCTTCTTCTTTCTTCTTTAATGGTGACTTGCAACCAGATGGAGCATTATCGCCACCTACTGACCTGAAATTCTTGTGCTTAGTCTTGTAAAAATGTTAAGATTTTTGGCAAAGTGTCTGCCGTCTTGTTCCCTTGGATGCCAATGTGTGTTGGAACCCATAAAAACTGAAAATCAATCCCCAGTCTACTTACGCTCTATAAAGATAATCCAATTTCAAACATAATATCCTCCCTGCATTTTGTTGTAGCATATTTGAGACTAGCCAGAGTTGCACTTGAGTCTGAACATAGCATTCTCATTGGTTTGACTTCCTCTTTCCACTCTAATGCAAAGGAGTAAATAATCTGTAATAAATGTAAATAATACCCATATCTCTCATGCAGCATAGTGTTCACATAAGCTTGCATATTAAAAACTTTCTTACTTAAACATTTCTGTTTCAATAAAGAAAAATCAATTATAGGCTAGTAACCATGGTGGAACAGCTGGCATTAAAGCGGTTGGACTAGTAACCCAATCATTGGCCCCTAATTCCTTTGTTATATCCGGTATTACATTTCAAAATACTTTCTTTTTAATTTTGCTGCTTTCAGTCATTCATATCCGTTTTGTAGGATGTGAATCCTTTTGACTTTGTAAAGTTGCCTAATAATTGGCCCTCAACAGTTTTCTTCTTAGAATCAGTGGCATTTCTCCAACTTCCACCTGAAGTGCTGATAGAGGTAGGTAGGTTCAGTTTTTCAATTCAATTTTATTTATATAGCGCCCAATCACAACAAGGTAGTCACAATATAACAAGTTATGGAGGGAAATTGAGTTTTGTAACTCCCTTATGCTACATAGCTGACAATATACATTAATACAGATTCAATTCTAAAAGCTGCTCTGCAGTCTGGTGGTGTGGCAGCAGAAACTTCTATATCTCTTCCCAGAAGGCAGCAGGGTGAACAGGCTGTGGCTGGGTGGGTACTGTCCTTTAGTATCCTTTGGGCTCTGCAGGCACCTCACCTCACCGATATCACTGATGCTTGGGAGATGGGTACCGATGATCTTCTGAGCAGTTTTATTCACCCGCTGCAGAGCCCTATAGGTGTTGACTTCACTGCTCCACAGTCAGGTGCCACTCAAAAATATCTAATTTTCATCTTCCCACCCCCCAAATGTGTTAATAATGTGACAAGAAATAAGTTGACAAAATTTGGATGTATTCTAATATTTACTGGTAGCTCAACACTGACAAAGTTTTACAATATTCAACATTTTCCGATTTTATCATGTAATATTAACTTTAATATCACAAGTTAGGATAATGCAAAAACAACTACATTAACTAACAGTTACTTCAGAAGTTAATTATCAAAAGTGCCCAGAGAATGAGCTTTAGCAACAGCTACACGTGTTTCCTTGTAGGCTAGCTCTCTAGTTCACAGAGTAGCTGCAAATTTCAATGAAGTGGACAAAACACATGCACATGTAAACCAGATAGACCCTCAGATAGACCTTAATTACGGAAGTGTTGAAGTGGCATAAGTGGGCTGCTTTGGCTCAGGGTAGAGCGGTCGTCCACTAACCGGAAGGTTGGGAACTCCAAATTGCTCCTGGTGGCTGTGCCATCAGTGTGTGAAAGTGTGTGAATAAGTTCATTTCTGTTTCTGATGAGCAGTTGGGTCTCTGCTGATAGGTGTGTGAATGTGGTGTAGTGTAAGAGTGGTCAAAAAGACACAGGAAAAGACAGGAAGACACTATACAAATACAGACCATTTACCATGTATGACAGTTCATACGGAACTGGGAGCAAAGCAGAAAATGTTCAGCGAGCCCTGTGGAAAGCTCTGGGAGCCTGAACATGTACGTCCCTACTGCACTCCAAGAAATAGGAACGACAGCTGCAAAAGAGGCTCTCATTAAGTGACCTTTCTTGAAGTGAACTTCTTTACTGTACCAGAAAATAACTGGTATGTGGTGCTAAAAATAATATCCCAAATACAATCCCAAAACACATTTGCTTCTGCTGTGGGCTGAGCATCACAACTGCGCTCATAACTGCACCTGCTGGACTGGAATGCAGGTGCGTCACCACAGACGCCAGACAACCTGTTCACTTTTAATACAAGTTCTACACATTCAAAGGCTTTCAAACTGAAGCCGCTTTGTTGCTGTTTTCCACCCTTTGCCATGGAACAGCGAGCTCAGCCTTTCCTGGTACACCATATTGCCCCTCCATGTTCAGCCATTTTTAGTTGTTTATTTATTGTAACAAAGCTATTGATAGTCAATTACTATCAAGTATTAAACACAGACTGTGTAGAAAGTACGTTTACACAAGTAGGCCTACTGCACTTAAGAACAGTTTTGATGTAGCCTACTTGAGTATTTCCATTTTATGCTAATTTATACTTCAACTTCACTACATTTCAGAGAGAAATACTCCACTACATTTATGACAGCTTTAGTTACTAGTTACTGTGATGGCAATTAGAGTTTTCAAATAAACAGCTCTGGCAAACACTTGTCTTTCTGTGAATTTATGCAAGTCTCTGGCAGAAGGACTCACAGCAACACACATACACTGTGTACATGTATTCCTGAATGAGTGAGGACAGCTGAGTGAGTCTGTTATTTATCCAGCTTTAGGGTCAATCATATCATCCCACAGAGACAAGTTGTCCCTGAAGTCTGGATAACACAGAGATATTTGACTGTTACGTTTACACAGATTCAGTGCCACATCACACGTTAGTCTCCCTGAGTCCAGGGTTACATGCAATATGTTTGGAATGCCCATTACATTAGATAGATACATATTTTCAGTGGTGGATGAAGTATTCGGATCCTTTACTATGTAGTAATACCACACTAAGAATCCTGGGTTACATGTGAAAGTCCTGTACTGAAAATGTTGCTTAAGTAAAAGTATGTGAGTATGATCAGGAAAATGTACTTAAGGTACTCAAAGCAGTCAAATGTCCCCTGTGACTAATGTACTATTGTATTTTCTATCATTATCATCAGAATATTATTTCTCATGCATTGATGTAAGAGCAGGAATTTACAGCTGTAGTTGTTGAGCTGGAGCTAATTTCGGACTGCAGCTAATGATTATTTTTCATTCTGGATCAATCTGCTGATTATTTTTTCCATTAATCGATTGGTTTGTAAAGATTCAGAAAATAGTACAAATGCCACACACAGTTACCAAGAGCCCAAAGTGTCACCTTCACAGTGCTTGTTGTGTCCAACCAACAGTCCAAACCACAACATTAAAACATTGCAATTATTACAATCATTTAAAGAAAAAGTGTCAAATCTTCACATGTAAGAAACTGAAAGCATCAAATGTTTTTCCAGAAAAAATACTTAAACAATTAGAATAGTTGCTGATTAATGTTCTGTCAATCGACTGACTAATTAACTAATCATTTCAGATGTACTTGTATAAACTGTTGACGAGTTTAATTTATAACAAAACATAATATTTAAAAACTCTTCACATGTTTTGTGTGTACAAATCTTAATTTGTTAAGTAAATACAGCTGTCAGACAAAAGTACAATATTTCACTCTGAGATGTAGTGGAGCAGTAGAAAGACTCAAATAAATTACAAGCAGGCCTACCTCAAATCTGTACTTACAGTAGGCCTACAGTACTTGGGTAAATGCACTTAGTTACTGTCCACCACTACATATTTTACCGACAAAATGAAGGCTATGATGCACTGATAAAATGAGATCCATTGTTATAGATGAAACTACCCACCTTGAATCAGAATCAGAATCAGGTTTATTGCCAGGTACATTTCTACACACGAGGAATTTGCCTTGGTATAAATTGGTGCTTACAGTACACATGAACATAAATGGAAAAATATAAATATAAAAAGTAAGGAGATCAAAAAGTTTACAAGTATACAAAAATTACAATAATACTATAATATTGACAAGTATGTGCAAAAATACACAACATGAGCATAAAGCACAATTGAGCGTTGTTGTAAAGAGTGGGGTCTGGAGTGTGTATGAGTGTGTGTGTTTGGGGAGTGGGGCATGAGAGTCAGTGACAGTGGGTACCCGGGCCTTGATGAGGAAGCCCACTGCAATCAGAAAGAAGGTGTTTCTGTGGTGAGAGGTTTTGGTCCTGATGGACCGCAGCCTCCTGCCAGAGGGGAGAGTCTGAAACAGTTTGTGTCCGGGGTGGAAGGTCTGCTGCAATCTTTCCTCCTCAGAGTCCTGGAGGAGTACAGGTCCAGAAGAGATGAAAGGTGTCTGTTTGCAGAAGTTCAATTCAATTCAGTTCAATTTTATTTATATAGCGCCAAATCAGGTTGCATACAGAGGGAGAGAAAGTAGAGGAGAGAGGGGCTCAGTGCATCATAGGAAATCCCCCGGCAGTCTAGGCCAATAGCAGCATAACTAAGGGATGGTTCAGGACTCACCTGAGCCAGCCCTAACTATAAGCTTTATCAAAGAGGAAAGTCTTAAGCCTACTCTTAAATGTGGAGATGGTGTCTGCCTCCTGAACCCAAACTGGAACCTGGTTCCACAGGAGAGGAGCTTGATAGCTGAACGCTCTGGCTCCCATTCTATTTTTGGAGATTCTAGGAACCACAAGTAACCCTGCATTCTGGGAGCGCAGTGCTCTGGTGGGGTAGTAAGGTACTATGAGCTCTTTAAGATAAGATGGTGCCTGACCATTAAGAGCTTTGTAGGTAAGAAGAATGATTTTAAATTCTATTCTGGAGTTAACTGGAAGCCAATGCAAAGAAGCTAAGACGGGAGAAATGTGATCTCTTTTCCTGGTTCCTGTCAGAACACGAGCTGCAGCATTCTGAATCAGCTGAAGAGTCTTAATGGACTTTTTCGAGCAGCCTGATAATAAAGAATTGCAGTAATACAGCCTAGAAGTAACAAATGCATGGACTAGTTTTTCTGCATCATTTTTAGACAGGATGTTCCTTGCAATATTACGTAGGTGAAAAAGGCGGTCC